AATTTTTTACATATATATATGAACTATATATACGTATATACACACATTCTTTTTTAATATAAATATTTAAAAACCAAACTTTCTAGATTTAAATACTGCTAAATTTCAGAAATGGGAAGGATAAATCTTCTGTCTAGGAATCGCAGAAAAATCATGACCCATACAACTGATTTTAGTATTTCAGTAACAAATTTGGGGACTACAGAAAGCAGATTATTTTACTGTTCTTTAAGCTGACACATTATAAAATTTCACTTAAAATCTTCATCTGAATTGCTTTCAGTTTCAGTGCTTGCTTTAGATTTCAGTATCTGTTAAAGGGTAATGCAGAGAGGAATATATGATGATCCAGTGCTATCTGATTGAGACTGTTTCCAGAGAATGAAGTCATAAAAACCTTTACAGTGTACATCCAGAAAACAGTGGAATTGAGCTGATTCAAAAAAAGGTACCATAGTGGAATGAAGCCACCTGTTCTACCAAAAGTAAAAGCACTAACAGCAAGGCCCACCGATTCCTCCGTGAAAGAAGTAAGCATCACGTTCATTTTAACTACGGATGGACAGCATTTTAGAATTCAAGAGGGGGAAAAACTTCCCTTGACACTGTCACAGGAAGATAAAAGCAGCTTAGGGGAACTGAAACTTCAATCTTAGTCCACATGCAGTAAAGATTTGGGAAGTGCTACACTCCAACATAGGCTTAACCCAGAGTCTAAAGGTTGCTGCCACTTAGCACTACAGAATCGTCACCTACATTAAAAAAACCCCTAGAGTAACAGATTTCTCTGCTACCACAATCACTAATTATTTCCTTCTTAATATGGTCTCTTTTCCAAGATTCATATGAAAAATATGTTAGCATGTCTCTAGAATACAATGATCAACTGAACACATTGGGAAAACTAACTGCTTGATAAGAAGAAAAAAAAAAAAAAAATGTGGCCAGCAAAGTAAAAGAAGGCTATGAAGGCTGTGCAAGCTGGTACTTGAAAGTTTCAGAGTACCCGGAGTGAACTGCAGTATCTTCCACTGTAGTTACCAGCTACTTAATTTGCTGTATAATTGGAAGTCACAAACATGCACAAATATTGAACACACTATCATACATTTATATCTTCTTCCTTTAACTTCAGTAAATGCAATATACTTCCTATTTCATCCTCTAGCATCTTCACAAAGAGAACCATCTTGCACTTGCGGTATCATAACGTTCTATAGCTTACAGATCTCTCTGCTTACAGACCAGAACAGAAGATTACTGGTAGAAAGCCTACACTTTCACAAGACTACCAAAATCACAGGCTTTGAAGTGGCCAGTTCCTACTGCAACTCCTGCTGAGGTACAATGCAAGACCAATAGATGGTCTACTGATACTTGAAGTATATTGCTATGAGCCAAGGCAAGGCTGCAGCATCCACTGATGACAGACCAAACGTTTTCAGATTACTTTCCAATATATTCTCCATTATGATCCTTGCTCCAGATGTTTTTAACCTTATACTGTTCTTATTGAATCAGGTGCCACACTTTTTTTTTAGGCTTGATGGCATTTCCCAAGCAGTTTTCTCTACAGAAACAAATACACATTAGCACTCGTTTTGTTTAGCAGCAATCTGAAGACAAATCAGCTTCCGCCACCCCCCAACCACCAAAACCCTAGAACTGATTACCAGGGCCAAAGGGGAAATGTGAGTGTTTATGATAGGTAGTCTTCCAACCCATTTAAACTGCCTTGGTTCTCTTTCCGCCTTTTAAATTTAGAAGCATGCTACAGGACACTACAGGATCCAAATGGGGTCTGTAACAGAAGCGGTGCAAATATGACAATTAGTACTTAACCATCAGAACAATCTGGAAAAATATGGAAGTGCACGATACCTGTTCAACGAGACGTGCACTCCTCGGAGCAAGACTGTCCTTGACACTTCATTTTTATTTTGGAAGACTAAGTCAGGGAAGTTTATTGGAAACCTAATACAGTTTGCATATAGTTATACACAATCTTCCACAGACGCACGCCAAAGGTTCATTGCAAACAGCTCTTCACGGATGGGCTTGTTAGGAAACCCAATACCTCTAACTTAATCTAGAATGTCTACTTAAGTTTGCAGCAATCTGCCACTTTGATTTGTTTCATTTAGCTTCACCAAGATATTTTTATTGCTGCATTTGTACTATTAGAACAGGTTACTACAAAAAAGTCTGCAGTTTCACTAAGTTGCACAGTCAACTCCCAGTTTCTTCAATTCTAAACAGAAACGACTTGCAAGAAATATAAACCTTTAAATCTTTTAAGACCACACCACAAATGAAGGTTACAAAAAAAAATAAATTAGTAATTTAACTTCGACTTTCCTGAGAAATCAGGTAAACTATAAACAGTTACTACAAATAAGATAGTGAATCTTATTGATACTGAGTTAGGAGACGGCTATACAGCCATCTTGTGCACACAACTGAGGGTTCTCTCTAAATCTGTAGCTCCATGCATTTCCTGTGCATTTCCTGGATACACGAAGAGTTGCAAATGTTTTATTAAAATAAATATTAACAAGAAATTCTCATTTATTACTTTGTTTAGTGAAATCTTACTTAACCTATTTTCCTCTTAAGTTCTGTGTTCCATTTCACTTATAATAATGAAAATCGGTTTAACTGTTCATGAATATTACTTTTAGCATAAGAATAGTCCTTCCATTGATGTTGACAATATTTAGGCTTTAAGACATGCAAGTATTTATTCTTTAAAAATAGAGGGTGGAAGGTAAGTTTCCAGATCTCTTTTGTCAGCTTATTTTACAACAATAATGCTACTTAAATTAGGGCCTGGAGGGGTTTGTGTGTGTTTCTTTTTAAATCACAAGCCCTGAATTTGGAAACTAATTCTGCAGTTCTGCAGTGTGTCTCTTTTGTAAGTATTCCAGCTAACTTTGTATCACAAACTCTCACATCAACCATTTTTACCTTAGAAAAACTCCACAGTAAAAACAATTTATCCTTATTTCCTTTCCCTGCCACCTTGAATATAAGAATGCTAATTAAACCACAGAGGTATTAAAGAAAAGGTAAACATAATTTAACATCAGGCTGTGAAACCTCCCAGCTAATTCTGCTAATTCAATCCTGCTAATGGAAAGTGAAATCTTCTCAGAAAACAAGTTGTTGTAGAACACAGTAATAAAGAAAACAATGCTGGTTCCAATATATTGAACACGTAGATGGCAGTCGTGAGAGTCAGATTTTGATGTCTGTTCTTTGCCTTAATTTCCCCACTGCTAATATTAGGAAATGAGTATTTCTCACCTAGTACCTTTGGTGGTAGACAAGCACACAGCACCATTGAAACAATTTTACCTTTTTCTGGACTGCTGTCCTACCACATCAACATTTTGAGAAGATGGTAATACTTGTCAAGAACTTACCATGCCATTTGCCTTTGTAAACTGTTCCAAAAGAACCTGATCCTATTCTGGTAGAAAGCATGACTTCACTTGCTTCTATTTCCCAGTAATAACTGGAATCTCTCTGTCCACGAGGCCTCTGGAACAAAAATTGACATGGCTTTTACTTTAAGTATTTAATCAAATATATTATACATACACACCAAGAATGAAATAACTTGCTTCGTACAAGTTTAAGATGCACTGAAAGCTTGATGGTTTTGTCCTGCAGTTTAGACTTTTGTTTTTCTCCTCAACTTGTGAGAGGTGGTGGGTTTGTTTACCCACCCCCAACAAAAAAAAAAAAAAAAAAAAAAGAGAGCTTAAGAAGCTATCATTAAATTCTGATCTTAGGAGGAACAAATATTTTATAATCAACTATTTAAAGACATCTGAAACACTTAAGAAACTTACTTTTTCCAAACACAATACTAAAATTCAGGAACTCATTTACATATTTAAAAGGAATAAAACATAAAGATGAGAGCAGAATTCTCAAATGTCTAAGTGATTAATAACTGTGAGTCCGACTAAGCAACTCTACTTTCATTTTTAAATCTTACAAGCTTTCAAAAAATTCCAGATATTATTCATTATTATTCTAATTTTTCTTTCTCTGCCCACCCCCTCCCCCGCCAAGTTTAAATCAAGCCTTTGAGGGAAAACTTGCATTTTGTTAAAGCTATTTTTCCCTGAGACATTTTGACAAATTTTACTATGAAAATGATGGCATTATCAATATCTACTTTCTATGGAAGCTATGGCAATACAGTTCAAATAGTGATAATAAGGCTAAAGAATTACTTATGCCAATATTAAAAAAGAATAAATAACATGCAGCCCCTAAAGATTCAGAAAGGCAATCCTTGAATCTGTACTGAAAACTAATGTCACGATAATGTCTGAAATTAATTTTCAATCAATTTTCAGTAACACAAAGCAATAGTGCCATCTTTCCCAAGTTAGTTAAAATTATATTGCTATTATATAGAATCATAGAATCATTTAGGTTGAAAAAGACCTTTAAGATCCTCAAGTCCAACTGTTACCCTACCACTGCCTTGTCCAGCACTAAATCATGTCCCTAAGCACCACATCTACACCTGTTGTAAATACCTCCAGGGACGGTGACTCAACCACTTCCCTGTGCACACACAGTGCAGAGCAATCCAAGATTATCATCAGCTTTTATTGCCTTGTGCAGAAATTTATCCCAACACACCACTACTCCCAGCCTAGTTGAACATAATAACAAAAAAAAAAAAAAATCAAATATTACCATACTTACAATTTTGTTTTTTTCTTGTGTATTAGATCCAGGGGCTCGCTCTCTTTGGGCTGGGACTGGGGTTTTGGGCTGAGACCAGCCAGTTGGGCTCATATTATTAGGACTTCCAGACAGAGCAGAGGGTGAGGCTTAAATATAAAAATAGAAGAAAAACAATTTATGAACCAGAAAATAAACACAAAATAATATTATAAATTATTTTATTTTTTGAAACCATACCTGATTCACTATGGCTTCGAATTGCATCCTAAAACAGAGAAGATAGATAATAAGTTAATAAATATATGAAAGCATACAAAGGAACGAGCAGGAATAGTGTTTAAATCGTTCCTGACAGTTTTGGTCTAGTGCAATACGGTATTGACCAACACCCTCCAAAAGATGATAGTTTGTTTATTTTCTAGTTACAAGAATCTTATATGCTAAAAAAACCCATGCAATTTGTGAACTCTTACAAAACATTAAAAATATTCACAGCATATTAAAAGGTATTACTACCAAAAAAAGAAAGGAAAGAGAAAAAAAAAAAAAGACATGGAACAAGAAGAAACACCAGAAATACTGTCTGCATTCCCACCACTGGATTTTTGTACATGCTTGTATATCAGATCTGAACATAGCTCCTGTGATGGTCTCTAGGGGACAAGTTCTCAAAAAGTTTTTGGGTGACAAATAGGTAAACTTTTAAAAGCCCCAAAAATATTCCAAGTCAATATACATTTTGAAATATCTCTACTGTACTATTTCAACCCAAAAAAGGCTACATCTACTGCCCTAATACAAAACCATCTAATTTTCAAAACATTTTCCCACAGATTAATGTTTGATATTTGAAAAGCATGTTCTTACACAGTTCACTAGTTGGTACAGCGCGACAACTCTCACCTCATGCCACAGGCACTTTACAACACAATTCTACAGCCATGCACAAGATAAACTAAGCTCTGACAAACATGACTTTACAACTTTTCTCACCTGCTATGTATTATCCCAAAGTACATACAGGAAAGGTAAAATATCCAGGTACTGTATAAGTACAAAGCAAGAACATGCACTACAGAAATGTTAAATACTGTCAAAGTTAATAGAAGTCAGTTCAAACTTTCTAACTAATTAGTAGAACAGTAAATGTAAGATTTCATAGGAGGACAGAACAAGCCTACATTCCACCATAGTTTTCAAATTGACTCAGATTATCCTTAGTGAAGATTTGTTTATAAAATACATCATTTTAGCTAGTTAGTTGCATTCTCCCAGGCTTGACTCTCGCAGAGAACCTCTACTCTGCACCTCAGTGGATTAAAATCTGCATAAACTACCAATGAAGAACTCTTGCAAGTTACTGCTTTTGTCCATTTTTAGGACAATAAAAATCTTTCAGAACTTGAATTAATAACTAGCAATGGTTTTTGTACCTCAGCCTGAGAATGTAACTGCTGTCAAGTAAACTGGCAAAGGATAACTAAATAATTAAAAATTGTGCTCATGCTTAGGTATATGTAATTCTTATTTAAGAAAAAAGTATTTTTGAACTTCTATCCTGATGTATTTTCTTTTTTGCTTATGAACCCTACAGCAAATGAACCAAAATCAGTGTTCTTTAGAGTTGTTCTTACAACACAAATAATACCACACACAGTGCTGTAGTCTGTCACCTTTACTTTGATGTGAAATAAAAATAGTACATCATGTTCTTAATCTAAGGGGTTTGTACAGTTATGTTCAATAAAATAGTTTCCAGAGGAAAAAAGCCACACAATAAATGTGTTTGAGAAGGTTTTGCTTTAAAAACTGTGTGACCAAATGCATCTCTAATTCAAACCTATTCAAATTTGCACCAAATTTCATAGTAGCATGGATTCATCCAGCTAAACTAAAAATGAAGCACTTTATCAATTTGCCTCTTCCAATGAGCGTCCTCAATATTTAAGTATAAACATGCTATAAAGATTTTCATCAAATCAACTCCAGATTAAACATTTCATGTGGACACTGCCATGGCTTACAAGTTATAGCAATCCTGTTAATCACAAGAAAACAAAAGGCACCAAGAAAATACCTACTCTTCCCCTCAAACAAAATCGTCTGCACCAGGAACTGGGAGAAGCATTCAGGCTGTTATTCTAGGCCAACACAGTAAGAGATAAAAGAAAAGAACAGAGGAGGTATAAAAAAAAATTTTAAAAAATAAATGTTAGGATAAAAGAAAGAAAAAATAACCTAATTTGTTTGATATATGATAATTAAATGCAGTAAAACTTTTACGTAAATATTCCTGTTCAAACCCAAAACTTCACTAGTATCCATCTTTTGGTAAACCACTTTATTAAGGTGGTCTTTCTCATGTCATACGACGTCTCTACTACCTTTTTTTGTAGTGTTTTGTTTTCTTTGGTGTTTTTGGGTTTGGAGGGGGTTTTAAACTTTTTTTTTTTTTTTTAAGCCTTTTGGAAAAAGCAGCTATTGCCTTTAAGACATGACAGCTATTTTTAATCAGTCCCTATGATATTATGATTTGTCTCTTTACTGCTACGCATAAAGGATAAAGAAAGCAATGTCTCTTTAAAGTCTCATCACACTACAAAGTTCAATAATTCATGTTCTCTTTCTTGAGTGCTTCATTATTTTTCGTGCCATAAAAGATGATCCCAGCCAGGCTTCTGAAGCAGTAAAAAAGGCTGTAAGCCTAAGAAAATTGAAGAGAATAAACCTCATAAAACCCAGCTGACGCAAAGCTCCTAACCAAAAAAGCTTCATGGGGCTGCGGTGCACATTTCTTCAGCTCCAAAGGTGCAGAGAACTTCTCTAGCACATTTCAGAGAGTCTTCACATTTCACAGAAGTCTATAAACTACCAGCTGAAGATGCAAGTAAACTAGGCAGTCAAAGGCTCTTGCTTGGCCTAAAGAGTTTTAAGCTATTCCAGAGCAAAAAAAACCAAATAGTGCTCTCCTTGAAGTCCTGCAGTTCAGCACTTTCTTTCTGCAAGCCTTTCCTGCACACCACTCCCTTATTTCGTTAAGGTTATCGCAAAAACAAAACAAAAAAAACCCCTTTAGGCCTGACTTCAGAGTTGTCTCTTATTACTGCCAGTCTAAGGTATAGTGGGAAAAAAAAGAAGAAAAAAAAAAAGAAGTGCTTGAAAGCAACAAACGGCAGAAATATTCTCAGATAGACATGGCTTTAGCACACAAGCCCAGAATTGCTGTTAATTCTGTACAACAGAAAACATATTGCCAATAAGCTTTGACTGAATACTGAAGTATTCCAACTCTATAACTACATCCAGACTTACAGTACCTGTAGTCTGACGTGAAATAAATACCAGCCCCACAACAAATCCAGATTTTTCAAGTCTGAAAAAATATTTTTAGTATTTCTTCAGCAAAACCGAGCTTATTTTCTTTTCAGATCCGTGAAACTTGATTGTTAAGCTCTCCCACATCTTTACAGACATCAAAAATCTACCTAGAACTTCAAAGTTGATAAAGACTGCAAGAATGAACTATTAACTTTCTATGCCAATGTGTCAACTATATTCTTCATCACTCAGCCAACTAAGGTAAACAGGAAGCAAATGACAGAAACCAAAGAAGAAAAAACAACTGACTATTAGATGGCCAGTCACAATTTCAGTTTAACTTTATGCTATTCCCTCTCTACCAGTATTACCTCAATTATCCGACTGTCTACAGGCATTGTAGTGCTAACCATATGGACATTTGGTGTGGATGTAGATCGTTGTCTTTGGGATAGAGAGCCCTCAGAGGAAGGATTTGATGTGTTGAATGTGAAGGCATGAGGTGTAGAATACCTGTGCTGGGAACTGAGAAGGAAAGAGAGACAGAAAGCGAAAGTTGTGGTTATTTTTTCGTCTCTAGCAATTGAAAAAATACTGTTGAATGTAACCAGTCCAAAAGCAATATACACAGAATTCCAAACAGAGAAAAAGTTGGGACTTACACACTAACTAGACTATTTGGTCAGCTGAATCATTCCCAGTTTAACTTAGGAAATAAATTAAAAAACCTGAAGGTCTTGTCAGCTCACATACTTATCTAGTGTGTATAACATAAGTCTCTTTCTGCCATTATAAATTTTGCCACAGTTCACCTCAATCCCCATCAAATCACATTTAATATACTGATAAAATATAGGCTCTGCTGGATTAATTCAGGTCTGTGAAATTTAAACGAACTGCTCATTTCAACCCTGTTAAATGCATAGCTTAAGAGCTACTTTTACTGCTAAGCCCCAAATTTGTAAAGGTTTGCAAGACTGTTCAATGGTTCGCACAGAACAGCCAGCAAGGAAGTCATGAAACCCAATGCCAGTTAAAAGGAGGCCAACACTAAAATCCAGTTCAACAAAGAGTTATAAATCACAACTAGGTCACTCAAACCTTATTTATCCCAAATCACACAAGTATCCTAACTGAAATCAGCCAGCCTTCACAAAAAGCTTAAAAAACTATCACGTTAATGAGTCATTGTCCAACAACACTGGAAATAGAATAAGATGGCAAAGAGAACAGAAGATCAATTCCTGATGCAGTTCCCACTAAAATAAATAAATGAATGAATAAATAGAACCATTTGCAAGTCAGCTACGTGCTCTGTGCCTCATTCCTGAATAGGCCAAGATTTTTCAAAGGGATGTAGAAAAAACAAAAGGTGGCCTGCCCTCTTCAGCCTCTAGAATTTCAAGGAAAAGAATACAGGCACAAATTAGGATCAGAAGACAGGCCCCTTTGAAAGGAAAGCAATTTTTATTCTAGCATTTAAAACTACAGGAACATTCTATTTAGGTCTCTCAATTTTCTTTAAGAGGAGCATATTTTCAGTTTCCACTGTTATCTCTTTAAACTGTTATCTGTCATCAAGACATTAGAACATTATTTTAGTTTACGTATGCAAGTCATGCAAAACAAGTCGCACAAACTTACATATATACTACCTGACCAGATAAAATAAGATTAATTCACAAAAATATCAAAGGGAGCCTTGAATTTTCATAGGCAGGAAAACAAAGGTCTCCAGAAAACCTTTAATACCCTCCCTTAAAATCTTAAGACTAAAAATTAAAAATACAAAATCCCAAATCAATGTTTTTCTTGAATCTAGGAAAAAGAAAGGACACTACATATTATCTGTGATGAAGTGGTGTTGCCTTCTTGCACATTTATCCCAACCTTCTATAAGATCATTCTATTTTTGAGGAGTTGGGGGTGTTTTGTTTTTTGTTTTATTTTTGTTTTGTTTTTAAACAACTGTATTTCCCAAACCAGAAATGACAGGAAATACTAGCTTACCTAACAGGTATCCGGGAGACAGACTCCCGCATCCGTCTCATTGTCAAGGGAGGTAGTGCAGGGACACCACTGTCACTGATATTTGAATTTGGGAACAATCTGAAATATCAACAAAAACAATTACAATTTCAACTGCTACACTACCTCCTGTACAATGCTCTTTATAGCTGAAAATTTAAAGGGCTGTTTCTTTCCAGCATAATTAACTTCATGAACACATTCCTATCTTTACATAATATTTTTCTTCTGTGTATGGTATGACTAAAAACTATGTCTTCAGACTCCCAAAGAAAATTTCCATGTGTTCTTTCTAAATTTAAGATACAAATCCTTTCACATCAGACTTCAGGTTTCCCTGAAAGGGTATTTGACACCAAATTTTTTAAGTTCCATTAAACCCAGTTAGCACTAAGTGGCACAAGTCATCCTATGCTCTAACAACTAGTCAGTATAAGAAAATGCATAACTATACAATCAAGTTGAGTTACAAAAAATACAATCAGTAGGTCAGAGACATAAAATCAATTGTAACACTTTCGTGTAAAAGGACTTCTTCTAACGTAACGGTTTTCAACTAATCAATATTAGGAAAGTACTATCCTTCATCAGTTTTCTCACTATTCCATGCATTTTCAACAGGGTGTCAAAAATTGTGGTAGTTCTGAACACTCATGCTTCCAACAGCTAAAACCCAACTGAATCATAACCTTTTTTCCTTCTAACAAAAGTGTTATGCGAGAGGAATTACTATTACTCTGCTGAAACTAATTATAGCAACTGCCTGTTCAAGACATTTGTTTGCTTGTCCCAGAATATTAAAATTTACAACAAGAACAAAATGCATTTAATGTAAACGGCCTTCTTCACCTGGGAACAGACAATCATTGCTGGCTGTTTTATGAAATCAATCCACAAGTTCTGTATACTGATGAAAATGACTACACTTCCCAACAATCCAAATTTATCTCTATGATAAGAGATTTAAAAAAAAATTATGTTTGTCTGTCACAGAGTATTACTGTTTCTATTAAAAAGGAGCAGTCCTTACAAGAGTTGCCTGATATTGCTCCAGTCGACACACATGGTTGGAACTTTAGTGCTGCAGTGTTCGTGGAATTTATAACCACATGTCTGACACCGAAACCCATTTAGCAGGAACTTCTGGCAGATGTCACAGAAAGCAAGCTTTAGAAATGTCTTCCGAGCCTAGAAAACACATTAAATGATTAATCCAAGCTACTAGCTTCTCTTCATTAACCGAGATGAACATCTCCAGAGCTTGATACAAATAAATACCATGTTAAAATGTTATCAGTGCCCTCAAAGTGCTACTGAACTTAAAACCATTATCGCATATATTTCCAGTTTGGTTGGAAACCTGGAAAGCTTACAAACATTTAGGGCTTTGTTTACCTGATTATTTAAGAAGAAAGAAAAAAAAAAAAAAAGGAAAAAGTGTTCCATCAAATTCAAAAGCACCATTTTGTGCTCAGTAAGGTGACAGAGCTGGGTGGGCCCAGAATTGGCTTTTTTGTTTGTTTTTAGTATAACCAAGGAGGTGAAGGGGGATCAGATCATAAGAATCACCTCATTATTTTTTTATTACTCAAAATGCTTGCTGTGTGTTCATGATTAGCCAATATCCCTTGCATAAGAAATAAATTATAAATTAATTAATTAATTAAATAGTTTAAGGAAATCCTACTCTTTTAAATGGCATCTAAGAGTTTTTTTTAAAGCTTCTGAAATATGCAAAAAAGATTAAAAAGAACCAAACGGTTTCTTCCTCCAGAGCACACTGCAAAGGAAGGCTCGAAGTTTGAGCCTCTTCCAAATCTGGAGAAAAACATGAGTTTTCTGGTGACCAACTGTAGACAATTTTATTTGCAGTTTTCTAAAAATGTAAAGTAGAAGCAAAGCTACTTTCAGTTTTTGTAAATCACTTCTAACCTTTCTAATGGATGTAAGCAATAATCCTTTAGTTTTGCCACTTGGCACAATATATTTCTGGGACAAAACAACAACAAAGGCTAGAATATAGGAATAGAGTTCCTTCCCAGGGAGAACAAAATAATGCAAGGTAAAACTGTTAGAGTTGGACATTATCTCTTTGTAAAACAAACAAACAAAAACCCCAAACAAACCCAAACAAGCTCTATTTATTTGCTCTATACTGAGCAAATAATTCATTTTTTGAGAAGAAACCACAAACCTAAAGTCTTTCATCCCCCCCCAAAATCATTCTGTCAAATTACAAGCCAGTATTACCTCTCAAAACAACGTCATGACCTTGCAGAATTAACGGCACCCCTGTACATTCAGCACAATTACCAACAGTCCAATAAAGCTGCCAAAATTATCTGGCCTTTTTTGACTGATGAGCCAGAGACTGAAAATGCAAGTTATCTCCCAGTTCTGGACTTTAAAGACATGATATCTTAATATGACAATTACAGAAATATATATTTATATAAAATAAAAATGGCAATCATCAGACCTTTGAAGAACATGCATAATGTGAGCTTTTAAAGTCTCTGACACCTAGGAGTCTCTTAATGTAAACAGAATTCTGGCATTTCATTGCAAATCAATATTTAGCCAATCCAATTTGTGGGGAGTAAGGGTGAAGGAATCAAACAATCACTTCTGAAATCTCCCCCTGTGTTTAGAAAGCCAAAAGGTACCTAATGCCTAAAAAATTCTTTGACTGAATATGTAGCTCAATTTACATCAAAATACAGAAGAGGAAAAGCTTACAAAATTGTGTGTAGTGAGTGGAACATGATCAAGGAAGTCCACTTGTAGTTCCTCTCCAATCAAGGAGGCAGCATCTGTGTTCCAATCCAAACGTACTTTTTTTCTGAAAGAAAGAGAAAACAAGGACAACAAAATTACTTAGGAAGTAAGAAGTCGCCTAATCAATGATCTATGCTTCGTGAGTTTCCTTGAGTAAACTGAAAACAAACACAAAAAAGCGTGGCTATCCTGTTACAGTGAGCTATATTTCAGTGTCTTTCACTTGAAAAATTAGAAGCAACTTTGAAAACATAGCAATTCACCTCTTTTTCTGTTTATTTTTTAATGTGTAATTCATTGAGATATATAGATTATTTGAAATAAGAAACCTAGAAGCTGTAAAGGAGTCCTAGAAATACCTTTATAAACAAAACATAAGAAATTATGAATGGCAGACTTAGTGACATGAAAGCCATATTACGTGCTTCCGCACTGAAGTTACTGGTGACCCCAGAATGGACTCAGTTACACAGAGATGTAAACCCACAAATGACTGCCTCACGATTGAGGCTTAATAGAGCATTAAGCTCAAGCCTTACGAGGTGTGAAGTTAAATGTATTAACTCCATGAGATACCTTCACTCCCTCAGCTTGTAAAAGAATCATTTGGTATTTAATAGCAGCATCCCCGGTCCTACAAAAAATAAGGAATATCTGAAGTGAGATTTAAATCCAAACATTGAAAAGTTGTAGAGGAATGCAGAGCCTTAAAACCAAGCACACAGAGCCTCGTTCACTTAAGTTGGCTAAGAATCACTAGCACTGAAGTTTACCAACTAGAAACACAGAGGAGAAATGCACCTCGAATATGCAAGCATATCACACCATTTTATCTAGAATATGACAAAAACCTCTGTAAGATGCTACAAGCACTTGAGTGTACCCCCTCAATTTAATGCATTTTTAATATTTAGCTTTAAAACAAAAATGAAATTTTTAATACCCAGGAAGCTGAAGGAGTTGCTCTAGAGGAGGGTAAAGAAAGCAACAGGGAAGTGTTCACAATCAAATTGTGCTTTTAAAAGAAACTAGCAAAAGAGAGGAAGACAGCACTATTGCTGCTATTCTAAAACTATGATTTTTACATTCTCTAGTTGAAAGTTTCACATAGAACATTCCAGACTCTTACCCTTTTGGTTCAGTAAGAAGTCGAAAAACCGCACAGCATTCTGGCTGCAGACCTCTTACTTTAAGTGCCTTCATAAGACAGTCATGTAAGGTCATCCCATTTCGCACATTTACCTGTGATCAAAGGGAAAAAAAATTCAGTCAGTGATTGCCGAATTTGTTTAAAATGGGTTTGGGGGTTTGGTTGGGTTGGTTGTGGGTTTTTTGGGGAGGGAGGAAGAAGGTGTCATGGGTTTTTTTCTCCTTTTCTTTCCAGTAAAGTTCCAGTAAAACTGCACAGCTGTTCACTTTTGAAGTTAATAAATAGATAAATAAAAATTACTTGTATGATGTAACAACAGATTGCTGTGCCTTCCGATTTAACTCACCGCATGTTCAGCCAACCTGTCAGACAGGCACATTTTCTGCCATATACGTAACTATTGCATACTTATGCAAAGGAAGTTTTGAAGTAATTTTATAACTTTTCAATTTCTTCCAATTACTAAGTTTCAACAAAACAGGATTTTACACAGCACTCATATAAGTAGGTAGCTTCTAAAAGTATTAGAAATGCAGCCAAATGGAGTTACCTTAAGTATAGAAAAAGGCTTAATGTAGATTTCAGGGAACTTCACCTAAGACTATGATTAGTACACTCAGTTCCAAGAAATCTAATAGAAGCGTTCCCTCAAGAAGTTTCACTTCAGCTTTAACTACCATACTTCACTGTGGGCATTCAAGTGAAGAAAACAGTAACAGAAATGATTACATGTTTTACTTCGTACAGGCATCATTGTTTAGGTCAGCCAACTACTGTCTTCTAATGTTAAATAGGTAAGCAAAGTATCTTGCTCATGTATATTGGAAAAATGCAGCACTGAGGTAGAGAAATACAGGTTCTCAAAATACAGATAACACTGCTTTCAAAATCTGTCCTCTAGAATTAGCAAACTGATGACAACACGCTTAATCACAATAAGACCTTTTGTGAAGCTTAGCATTTCTCTTGCCAGATTCACGCCATAGTGTTAGCAATGAGAACAGTACGTTTCTCACATAAAGGTAATGTAGACTTACCACCGTGCGCTGCTTGTTGGGCAAGAAAACACGAATAGTATTACTAGTTTTGGAAGTATCTGATATTTTGCCATCATCAGATGCTCGGCGTTGATAACCAAACTGCTGGACAATAGTAGGTGAAACACAGTTTGGGCCATCAAAGACAGAATCCTTGAGTCCAAAACCATTACTGATAGTCTTCCAAGCTCCCTGAATGTGCTCCATTGATGCGGTCTAAGAAGCAAAAATTGAGAGAGTCAGGGAAAATTACAATATCCTTCACTATAAAGTGGTACTCTCTCTTCTTGAGACAACAAACCTCACAGCCTCTTTTGAAAGCATCTGAAAACTGCACTGCCCTCTCCCTCGTGACACGATCAACCTACACAGGCATGGTACAGTTCACCCACATCTGCAAAAGTAGCCTGACTCTTGAACGCATTTGGCTTTCTGCACATAAACAGATGATCACAAATATATGCGTAATTCCTCTCACTGCATCTCTGGCACCACGGAAGCATTTACCATCATATTAATCAAGATAATCAATGTCTGAGGGGTCTTCAGAAACATGGCTAGATGCTAGCTGCAGGCCAAAAGAATAGTTCTGTAAGCCAGATATGGCATGCAAGCATTAGCACAGACTGGACTGTTAAGAAAAAGAGGCCCAATAGAAATTATAATAAAAAAAGCATTCCTTGAAGAAATTCTATTTTTATCAGTGATTTTGGGGCTTTGGTTTGGTTTTGTTTGGGGGGTGTTGGTTTTTTGTTTGGTTTTGTTTGTTTGGTTTTTAAAGGGTAGTAAGTTTAATACTGTTAGTATACAACAAAATACATAACATTTTAATAGTACCACAATTTACGTAGTATGAAACAGAGAAAAAAAAAATTCTAAAACTCCCCCCACACTACGCTCAGTAATATTTCAGCATAAACCTCTCCCAGTGCAGGAACATAAACAATCCCCTGCATACTTCCAAATCGGCACACAGCACTATTTTTGCACACTCAGGGACAAAGATAAAGGGTTTTTTTTTTCCCTAGCTATCACAACTTCAATGCAGCTTGAACTCCAAACTATACTATAAATGTAACTTATTCAAAACTAAGCAAAAACAAAGTCTGAACCAGTTTTAACAGTTAAATGTACTCCTTGCTAAATTTCCAAGTACCCAGATTTATTACCAAGCTTTCAAAAAGAAAAAAAAAGAAAGGCAACAGTGAAAATAAGCACAGTAATTTATTTCCTCCACAAAACTGCATCCTTCTATGAACATCTGAGAAACTGATATTCCGAACTACACGGTGCAAGTGCATATCTTTCGCCACGTGAGTATTGTTTCCAAATTAATCTCCAGTGGTTGTGCGCACCACCTATATTCCTGATCACCTCTATGAAAGGTAAAGAAAGTCATATGAAAGCTGCAAAGTCGAAAAGTAAATCAGTCAGGAAATGCCAAAATAAAGGTCTTCCAAGCCATGCTAATTCCATCCCCTTATGGTACAGGAAAGACTTACAGTGAAAGAGCTACATTTTCCCCCTGAAATCACTAACAACTTAATTCAGTACATAATACCAAACACTCCTTTCTGAACTTCTATCAGTATCTATTAAAGTCTCATTTAACGTGTGGTCCCTTGTTGCAAATTATTTGAATCCTCCAATTCATTTCCTCGTGCCCTTTTGTGTAGCACCCATGCCAAAAAAAAAAAACCCCAAACAAGAGCAGCTCCTCTTATCCCAAACATTCACATAGTTATGTCAGAGAAAAGACAACAGTGTTTGTTACAGTTGAAGAGGTAAAGTAATGGAATTCACAGAAAAAAAAGATCTCCACTAGTGTTAAGTGTCCATTTTGGGATGCCCAGAAGGATAAATTTTGAATTTCAGAGTGTTTTCACTCGCAGCATAACTCTGCAAAGCCTGAGCTAGATCTGTAAGTACTTAACAGGGCTACAGACCTAAACCCAGATCTGACTAGCAGCTAGAAAGGAAACATGTAACAACAAACTTAAAGAAAAAGGTTTGGTTTATATGACACACCTAACAACGCATGCAAACTCTGCAGTAGAACAACTCTAGGGCTCTTACACTCTCTGCTACAAAGGGATCTTTTGGTCTGTTCATGAACATTTCTTTCACTGACAACATACACAATGACAACATACATATCCTCTCCTTCCCTCCTGCCAATCGTCGTCATTCTTGCATCAATGCCATCAGTTGTGCAGGTCCAGTTGCTCAAAGGTTCAAAATATTTAACCATCATTGATATTTAAAACTCAATACCCAATCAAAATCTAATAGGATTCAGATACTTGAAATTATTTTTTTTAAATCTACGGCATGTAAATGATAACAGTCTTACATTTGATGTAAAATCACTGCTGACGTAAGGTGACAACACCCTAATGTTACAGCCTTTATATTTAATATTTTGACATGCTGCCAATATTTCCTGAAAAATTCAAGAGAAAACAGGAAATGACAAAAAAATTCAAACTTGTACCTTGACAAAAGCTAACTTTCATACCAAAAAAGGTACTTCCCTCCTCTAACGGTGTTCTCTTGCCTGAATGGGAAAGGCCTACTACATATTGTAGAAGAGCCTACTAGAAAAGACCACAGAAACACATTTTGAGGTTGTTGTATGCACAGTCAGAAAAACATAAACACAGCAACCACTGTACAAGTGTCAGCTGAATCTTTGATTATGCATTTGCATCCTTCTCTTTCCTAGGATCTTTGCCTCAAATAAATACTAGATATTCTCAGGACTCTCTATGTTTAGCATAATCCTCTCTTCCAGCAATGCCTTGCTCTCTCTTGCCACCACACTTCACCAGTGCATTTTTGCCATCTTTTTGGCTGCAGCTGATGACTGTCGTCCCTGGCAGCTTGGGTTCGCTCACAGATCTTGAGATCTTTTTCTATAAAACGAAAGTACCTGCTCATCTCAGCAGGCAAATTTAAAACATGCCATCCTTAGCTCTCCTTCCTGCCTAAACTGAAGGCTATGGGTTTTACTCACACACTTCAAGGAGCCACCAATGAAGGGAGAAGATGAGAACTTGGCTCAGATCTGGCCTGGAGTGGACAAAGACCTGCAAGTGGCCTGAGGGTAGAGGGGTAGGGGAGAAGAAAGGGAAGTTTAAAAGTTACTTGCAGTTTCCTGGGGAGAGACAGGAATCCATGAGGAAAAGTTGCTAAACCCGCTCTCAGCATCCATGGTACAAGGGCATGCAGTTGGTAAGGTGGGGCTTGTTGAAGAAACAGCTGTAATCAACTGTCCTGCTGCTGACTTCTGCAACTGTTCAGAGTCAATCCTCATGTGGGATTGTCATGGAAGAATACAGACAGTCATGAAAGCTGCTTCCTAAGAAGTAATTTAGGAATGATTTACACCTTTTCCCTGCCCTCAAGTGTAAAGCAAGCTAGCGTAAAAAAAATATTATATGAACATATACAAAAACATTCACTTTGAACTCAAACTGCTCACTGCATACATAGATACGAGGTAAGAGAATTAGCATGGCAACTACTTGACCAGCTTTGAACTGACCAAAAAAAAAAAAAAAGTACTCTCACAACATAATATTGCACATACACACATGATTTCTAGTTGGTACACTGAACACAGAAGCAAGCACAACAGCAGAAGACAACAGACATGCTATCTCATAGAATCACAGACTGGTTTCGGTTGGAAGGGACCTCAAAGCCCACCCAGTTCCACCCCCTGCCATGGGCAGGGACACCCTCCACCAGCCCAGGTTGCCCAAAGCCCCATCCAACCTGGCCTTGAACACTGCCAGGGAGCCAGGGGCAGCCACAGCTGCTCTGGGCAACCTGTGCCAGGGCCTCAGCACCCCCACAGGGAAGAATTTCTGCCTCAGATCTAAGTTAAATTTGAGCAGGAAAAAAACCCCTTCATACTATTCCTCCACCTCCCACAGGTATACTGCACATTGTGACCAAGATTGCACTTTTAATTAGTACTTTTTGCATAGATTACAGATTTTGATGGTTAGTCATTTGAACAATCATTAAAACCAAATGCACAACATAGCTATGCAATGTGCATACCTGCCAGTAACAAATTCCTAGAGATCATTCACTCATATCCGCTCAGATCATACACTCATATCATTCATTCATATCCAGAAGATACTTTAAGTTACTTTAACTTTCTCCGTCACTAGCAAAAAGTGTTTAGTCTGAACTATTAAAAATTTCAGTCTATCTCCATAAGGAATGCTAAAACTGGTAATGACAAAGCCTGAAAGTTTGCAGGATATAAAGCTAAACTCCTCTCAGTACAGCATTTAGGTGCCTTGCCCCTTCCTTTATTTCTTAAACAAACACCAAAAGCTTTTAAAGAAAATGTAAATACAGTTCTCCCTCCCAACACACACATGCTGCCATTTTTATCCACATGAACAATTTAATCACACTCATGTTTAATGAAATACATACACAAAGGCAAAACACCACAGAAAAAAAAAACAGAATCCATTTTAAAATGAACACTTTTGTTAGAAAATACAAGCTTTAAAAGTTGCTTATAAGTTTTCATCTCACACACAAAAAGATCAATAAACATTTAACTGTGGTCTTTTCTCAGTTTCTCTCCTATACAGTAATTCTCAATTGATTTAATATTGCATGGGTGACCAGTTGTCTGGGGAAAAAAAAAAGAAACCCACATCAAACAAGTATCTGTTGTGATATATAGCATTATTTTTTTAAAGTAGCTTTTCATAGCAATAGAAAATAAATACAAACCCATTCCTAATCTAATAAATAAAACTGTGATCAATGTAAACATAAATGCAAGGCATGAGTTAGGATCAGTCTAACAACCCAAGCAGATTTCTCATACATCTACAAGGCTGGGTTTTTCCCTTTAAATGTCCTTCATTTTGAGATCGATCCCAAATAGCAAATTCCCCCCTAATAAAACTGGGGGAAAAAAATTAAAATTAATAGGAGGAAATGTTATTGTTCAGGGAAAAAAAAAACAAACCACAAAACCAAACACAGAAACCAATCACTGAAATATTACATATAATTTTTGTCTCAGTTCTTCTATCTTGAACGTATCGTTTCTCACCTTTATCTCCCTGAACCATTCATTTCTTAGTTACTATTTCAGCCATTTTGCTGCTAATGTAACTTCAAAGTATTTAAGGAAAAAAATAACATTGGTTTTCCAACAATTGGGCTCTACAGTAGGGAAGGCACAAGGAATACAACTCTCAGTCTGGCACACTTTCAGATTGATTAATCCTTTGCAAGATTCTGTATTTAAGAGTAGCTTTCAGAGTAAAACTTTGGTTAGTAAGCATAAATCAAGTCATGCTGCTTGGCTGTACTAGCATGTATTTTGGGCTCTGGGTAGTAGGTATTTGTCACCAAAACTATCGGCTCCTTGTCTGCTCTGTACCTGCTCTCCTCTGTTGATAAGAACGGCTCCAGGCTAGTTTTCCTAACCAATTTTTAGGAAGATCTATTTGGTTTGTCCTTTCCACACAGGTCATTCCCAGGTCAAACATCTATTTCTTTCCATATGAAATTTCTATCAAGTTCAAAAGTGTAGCTCCATAAGTTT